CTGGCTGACCTTCCAGAGGACTCGGGTTCAATTCCCAGCCCCCACACGGCAGCTCGCAACCACCTGTAGCTCCAGGACCCGACATCCTCACACAGACATGCGTGCAGGCAGAACACCAATGCACATAAAGTAAAAATAATTTTTTTAAAAAGTTACTGCACCAGGCAGTGGTGGCACACGCCTTTTATCCCAGCATTGGGGAGGCAGAAGCAGGTGGATCTCCGTGAGTTTAGAGCCAGCCTGGGCTACAGAGTTCCCGCTCTTGCAGAGAACCCAAGACAGTTCACAACCATCAATAGCTACAGTTTCAGGGGGTCCGACACCCGTGTCTGGTTCTCTCAGTTGCCTGTCACATAATGCAAGCAAATATTCATACACATACACTGAAAATAAACCTTTAAAATGATTAAAATTAAAAGTTTCTCTTCAGGTAGTACACATCTTTTGCCTTGTACTATTCATATAGCATGCCATGTTAATATGCTGTTTTTAATATGCATAACTATCCATATATAATCTAATGTACGATTGTGCGGTTGTGTCAACTGTAAACCCAGGAAACGCTAACTATGGAGTGGTGTCGTCACACACAGCGCGCACACAGTTTCGGTTACAGTTGCTCGCAACCAATAATGCTGTTTCCCCGGGAGCTCAGGCTGCCAGCCTCTAGCAGTTCTGCTTCACACATAGGGAAAAGTGGTCACACCTTTTTCCCTCCAACATGACACACGGATCTAAGCAGCAAAGTTCTGCAAGGGAAAGGATGAAAATGGGGGCTCAGCAGGCTGCAGTCGTGCAGGGAACAGCTTGAGAGCAACAGGTTTGAGATGATCTAACTATCCTTAAAGTGAAAGTCAATGACCCCTGGTTTAGAGACACGTGCTCAAGTAAACAAAACCGGGGGTGGGGGATTTAGCTCAGTGGTAGAGCGCTTGCCTAGCAAGCGCAAGGCCCTGGGTTCGGTCCTCAGCTCCAGAAAATAAAATAAAATAAAATAGAATAAAATAAAATAAAGGTGTGTGCCACCACCGCCCAACAAAACCGTATATGCCGGTGAGGTAGTGAGAAATGGGTTGTTATGGTAGTGTTTGCACAAATCCACGATGTCTCAGGAAAACGGCACATGAAGGGATAGAGAGATGCTGATGATTTTCTTCTTTAGTTAGTTGATGGTTTTAAAAAATAATAATAATAAAAAATGAGTCCCTGGCTTGAGGCAGTTGGATCTCAAGCTGGGTCAACAAAAATAAAAATTAAGTCAGACGTAGTGGCCCATGTCTTTAATCCCAGCACTCTGGAGGCAGGGGCAGGTGGATCTGGGTGGGTGAGTTCTGGGTAAGTCGGGGTGACTCAGTGAGACCCTGTCTCAAATAGAAAAATAAAAAATAAAATTAAGGTCAAAAACAGTAAAATGGCGCCAGGCGGTGGTGGTACACACCTTTAATCCCAGCACTCGGGAGGCAGAACCAGGCGGATCTCTGTGAGTTCAACACTAGCCTGGTCTATAGAGTGAGGTCCAGGACAGGCACCAAAATTACACCTGTCTCAAAAAAAACAAAACAAAACAAACAAAAAAAGAAACAAAAATAGCGAAGTGTCTGTGGCTGGCAAGGTGGCTCAGTGGATAGAGATGCTGCTTACTCACAAGCCTGATGACCCAAGTTCAGTATCCAGGATCCATATGGTAGAAGCGGGAATTTAATGGCAGCAAGTTGTCCCTGGGTCCTCCATATATGCACCGTGGTGTGTGTGTGTGTGTGTGTGTGTGTGTGTGTGTGTGTGTGTGTGTGTGTCACACACACAAAAATGTAAATAAAAAGTATTTTAAATTTTCTTACTTTTACTTTGTGTATCTGTGTATATGTGTGTGGGGGAGTGGGTTCACAGAGGCCAGAAGAGGGCACTGGGTCCCCTTGGTCTGGAATGACCAGGTTGTGAGCCGCCAAGTGTGGATGCTGGAACTGAACCCAGGTGCTCTACAAAGAGCAGCGGACAGTCTTAACCTCTGAGCCATCTTGCCAGTCCCCTTTCCATGCTCTTAATCCCACCCCCGTGTGGTGTCTGACTGCCACCAGGCCGGGGCCACACCATGTCCACGGCTGCAGGATGGCAGTGAGTCTTGACACTGAGAAGCAGGAAGCATACGTTCTTCAGCTTTAGTCCGTTGTAGCCCCACAGTTTTGCCTGTTCGGCTTTTTTCTACTATCTTGTCAATTCTTGTAGTATTGATTTCAGAATCAGCTGGTCACTCTCCACAACAGCAAAAAAGCTAGCTGGGGTTCGGGATCCCGTCCCGTTGTCCTTTGGCGGTGCTGAGGGTGGACCCCCAGGTCTGGGACACGCTAGGCAAGTGACCTGTCATCAGCCTGGAGTGCAGTCACCTTAACACTATTGAGTCGTCCAAGCTCCAGATAAGGAAATCTTTCCACTGATTTAGGTTTCTCTTAATGTCAACATTATTTCATAGTTTTTAGAGCTTAAGCCTCTTTTAAAATTATTCCTAAGTATTTATCGAATTTGATGCTACCAGAAATAAAATTATTGGGCTGGTGAGATGGCTCTGCAGATAAATGTTGAACCCTTATGGTATCCTCTGTTCTTCACATGTTCCCTGTGGCCCACATGTACCCATACATTACACTACACACACACACACACACACACACACACACACACACACACACACACACACACAAATCTATTTTTTAAAAGAAATGGAATTATTTTCTTAATCTTCATTGTGTTCTTTGTATAACAATACAATTGATTTTTATATATTGAACTTTTTATTTTATGTGTGTGAGTGTTTTACCTCCATGTATGTATGTGCACCATGTGTGTGCAGTACCTGCTGAGGTCAGAAGAGGGCATCAGAACTGGAGTTACGGATGGTTATAATCTGTCGTGTGGGTGCCGGGAACCAAACCTGAGTCCTCTGCAAGAGCAGTTATTGCTCTTAACTGCTGAGCCATCTCTCCACCTCTGAGTTTCACATATTGATATCAGACCCTGAAATATCACTGAAACTTTTTACCGGTTCTAGTAGGTTTTAGTGAATTTCTTAGAATTCTTTTCTCTTTTAGGAGACAAGGTCTCACTATGTAGCTCTGGCTGGCCTGAAACTCACTATGCAGACCAGGCTGGCCTTGAAATCACAGAGATCCACCTGCCTCTGTTTCTGCCTCCTGAGTGCTGGGATTAAAGGCATGCATTACCACAGCTGACTGTATACTAACTTTAAAAATTAATTAAAAGGGCTGGAGAGATGGCTCAGAGGTTAAGAGCACCGACTGCACTTCCAGAGGTCCTGAGTTCAATTCCCAGCAACCACATGATGGCTCACAACCATCTGTAATGAGATCTGGTGCCCTCTTCTGGCCTGCAGGCATACATGCAGACAGAACACTGTATACGTAATAAATAAATAAATCTTTAAAAAAAAAAAATTAATTAAAAAAAAAAAGAAATTTACTAGGGTATGAGTCACGTATTTGAGTTTCTCAGTGAAGTACTTACTCATCCATACATATTTTTAAATTCTTGTAGATTCTATCTTCATGGTTTGGGAAGTACTTTTTTTGTTGTTTATTGAAACGACATCTGTCTATCCCTAGCTAACTTAGAACTTGCTATGTGGGCACAGATTGGTCTCGAACTTACGGTAGTCTTTCTCTTGTCTCCTGGCCACAAAGAAACAGGTGTGTACCACCAAGCCTGGCTAGATTCTACCCTTAAAACAAGCTGACACGTATGTCTCAGGGTGAGGGAATGGTTTTGATAGACTGTGAGATCCTCAGGGTGAAAAGTGACAGAATGGTATTTGTGACAGTCCACATGGCATGGACAGTGTGACATCATCAGGGCAGGACAGACTGGGTGGCTTAAAAAACAAAAGGAGGGGCTGGAGAGATGGCTCAGAGGTTAAGAGCACTGGCTGTTCTTCCAGAGATCACGAGTTCAATTCCCAGCAACCACATGGTGGCTCACAACCATCCGTAATGAGATCTGGTGCCCTCTTCTGACCTGCAGGTGTATATGCAGACAGAACACTGTATACATAATAAATAAATAAATCTTTAAAAAAAAAAAAAAAGGAATTAGGGACTGGAGAGATGGCTCAGAGGTTAAGAGTGATTGCTGTTCTTGCAGAGGACCCGAGTTTGGTTCCTGTACCCACACATCAGGTGGCCCATAACTACTTGTGATTCCAGCTCCAAGGGATCCCATGCCCTCTTCTGACATACACAATCACCTACTCTCACATCTGTGTATAGAGACACACATGCATAGACATGATTTTTTAAAGTAAGCCTTAAAAATTATTTATTTATTAGTTTATTTTATTTCGACGCTAAGGACCGAGTCCAGGGACTAGGATGTGCTGAAACAACAAGATTTTATCCTCTGTCAGAATCTAAAATCGGTGTCATCCGTGCGATATGTCCCCTGTGACGGTTGTCGGATTGATTCCTTTGGGGCTCCTCCCACACTCTGATACTTGAGTTCTGTTTCCTGACCACGAGGAAACAGGTGTGCACGCTATCACACTGTGTTCAGCTCCAAGCTGAAATGGTATAATGATGGACACGTTGGATTGAAAGCCACCCTCCTCCAGCATGACCTCATTTTATAATTACATTTGCAGTGACCCCATTTCTAATAAGGTCCCCAAGGTTAGAACTTCAGCATCCTTCCTGGGGGACCATAACACAACCCACAAATATATGTTCCTCTTCAGTTTTCCCAAGTGGCATAATCAAGTATCTTTTTTCTTTTTTTGTTTTTGTTTTTGTTTTGTTTTGTTTTTTGAGATAGGGTTTCTCTGTGTAACAGCCCTGGCTATCCTGGAACTCACTTTGTAGACCAGGCTGGCCTCAAACTCACAGAGATCCACCTGCCTCAGACTCCCGAGTGCTGGGATCAAAGACGTGTGCCACCACACCCGGCTTCAAGTATCTTTTGTGTTGACCATAGTCTTTGTTTTATTTTCTGTTCTCTAGATTGAGGACATGTTTAATGAGATCAAGTTTAGTGAATACGTGGACACTGGGAACCTCATCGACAAAATCAACTTACCGGATTTCCTCAAAGTTTATCTGAATCATAGGCCACCTTTTGGTAACACCATGACTGGCATCCAGGAGAGCTTTAACATACTGGGTTTCAAAAATTCCGAAGGGAAAATGGTTATTCGGAGAGAGGATTTCCTGAACTTGCTCCTCACTAAAGGTAACACCCAAGCAAGGACATCTGGTAGCAAGCATCCTTCCCATTGCCAGCAGAAAAAGCCTCTTTAGGGCAAGCAGACACTTTGGGATCCCCATCTGTCATGATGACAGGGCTTCAACCTCCAGGGTCACCTTGTCGTGTCTTGCGTATCTGACAAGTGTAGGTTAATGAGAAGGTCCCTGACCTAAAAATGAGAAACATGTGATTCACGGGCCAGCAAGACGACCCAGTGAGTCAAGGTGTTTGCCATACAGCCCAGGTGACTAGAGTTCAACTCCCAGAACTCACATGGTGGGAGAAGCTGTACTCTGACCCCCGAGCACAGCCATGGCACATGCTCCCCCCACCCACAAAATGAATAAAGTGCAAAAAAAAAATATTTAAGAAAAGTGTGTTTCACACTCAGCTTCCCAAGACTTCCAGTCTCAGCATGCCCACGTGCTGTGGTGGTGTGGTGGTGTTCCGTAGCCCAGGCTAGCCTTGAGTGGTCGCGCTCTCCGTGCTCCGTGCTCACTCTCTCGTTCTGGGGTTGGAGGTGTACACCACCACACCCAGCTTGGCTTGTAAAATGGGGAGGTGTTTGCCAGCTTATCCGTCTCCTTGGGCTATAACGAGGTCAGGGTGGGCTTGGGGTGTCAAATCACACTCCAGGGAGGGTCATCTTGTCCTGTCTTGCATATCTGAGAAGTATTGGGCTTTTTTTTTTTTTTTTTTTTTTTTTAATCACAGTCAACCTAAGATGGCTCTGAGAAGAGGGAGCTTGAAATGAAGCCGAGCCCAGCCTGCATCGCCACGGTCCCTTGCTCAAGCCCCAACATCTTCCCCCCCAGCTTTGTAGTGCCATATAAGGAAGTGTTGGTGACAGACTAGGACTCTGTACATTGTCTTCCTAGCTAAAGAAATGGCAAGAGTACGTCTCTTGAAGTTCTCTGGGCCAGTGAGACGGCTCAGCAGGCAAATGTGCTTATTGCTAAGGCTGAGGACCCCAGTTCAATCTCTAAGACCCACAGAAGCTGTCCTCTGACTGCGAGCATACACCGTGCCCGGTACACACACACACACACACACACACACACACGCACGCACGCACGCACGCACGCACACACCCATGCACGCATGCATGCACACATGCGCAAATAAATAAAGAAATGTAAAATTTAAAAAGATCTCTAGCCAGAGGGGTGGCACACAGCGGTAATGCCAGCACTTGGGAAGTAGAGGCAGGAAGATGGAAAGTTCCCAGCAGGGCTGGAGGCGTAGCTCGGTTATACAGTGTTTGCCTAGCTTGCTTAAAGTCCTCGGTTGAATCTCCAGTATCGCACAAGCCAGACCTGGCGGCCCACATCTGTAATCCCAGCACTTGGGAGAGTTCAAAGGTCATCCCAGCTCGAGGTCAGCCAAGTTTGAGGCCAGGCTGTGATACAGGAGAGCCAGCCTCAAAACAAACAAACAAAACAGAAGACCTTCTCAGTTCTCAACCCGGGTGTGAGACGGAGCCCCAGAGTTAACCAGACTCCTTTTATCCCCCGTGCCCAGGCGAGCACATGACAGAGGAGGAGATGTATGACTGCTTTGCCACGCTGTTCGGCCTGAAACCTGAGGGGTGGAAATTGGAGCCTGCATCCACCTCCGTCAAAGGTACCTGGCCTTTGTCTGGTCTTGTAGCCCCGGCTCACTAATTTGTTACAGACTTAAGTGCATTTGTTCCCTCTGACCGGTGCCAGCCACTGTCCTTAAGACCCTGCCCACAAGAGTCAGTCTTCTGGGAATCCCGTGAATAGGTGACCACAGAGCCAGTGAGTCGTGGCTGTGTCTGCCAGATGGAGCATTCCCTCCCACTCTGCCGGTCCTGTGGCATCTTCTGACTTCCTTCCTTCCTTCCTTCCTTCCTTCCTCCCTCCCTCCCTCCCTCCCTCCCTCCCTCCCTCCCTCCCTCCGTCCCTCCCTCCTTCCCTCCCTCCCTTTCTTTCTTTCTTTTTGGGGGGTGCAGTTTTGAGACAGGGTTTCCCTGTGAAGCCCTGGCTGTCCCGAACTCTCTATGTAGCCCAGGCTGGCCTTGAACTCACAGAGATGCACCTGCCTCTGACTCCTGAGTGCTGGGATTAAAGGTGTGCGCCACCCCACCCCCCAGCCCTTTTTCCCTTCTTTGTTACAATGGGTTCATCTTTCTGGCTCTGGTGGATGAACATTAAGCCACTCCTGGAGGTAGCTGTGGAGAGAGGTGACATCTGGGTAGGTGTACAAACTTCCAGGATCTTAAAGCTCTGTTTCTCTTTCTTTTTAAAAAAAAAAAAATTGGTATTATTTTTATTTTGTGTGCATTGGTATTTTGCCTTCATGTATGTCTGTATGAGGGTGACTGGAATTACAGACAGTTATGAGCTGTTATGTGGGTGCTGGGAATTGAACCTCATAGAGTCTCACTGTGTAGCCTTGGGTGGCCTGGAACTCACTATGTAGCCAGAGCTGGCTTCAGACTCCACCAGCTGCCTCCTGAGTGCTGAGATTAAAGGCATGTGCAACCATGCCTGGCTTTTTTTTTTTTTTTAAATTTGAGGTTGGTCTCTTTATGTAGCCTGGGCTAGCCTTGGACTCCTGCCTCCACCTCCCAAGTGCCAGGATTACAGGTGTGTGCTGCCATATCTGTCTTCAAGTTCTTTTTTTCTCAAAAGTTGTCTTTTATGTCTTTTTATATTCTTTCCCTCCCCCTCCCCCCTCTCTCTCTCTCCCCTCTCCCGTGTGTGTGTGTGTGTGTGTGTGTGTGTGTGTGTGTATGTGTGTGTGTGCGTGTGCGTGTAGACAAGTAATATCACTCACTGAACCACCTCACCCACCCCACTAGTTCTTTTATTTTTCTTGCATGTGTACACGTATGTGATGTGCAGGTGTGTGTTCTTGTTTATATGTGCACGTGAATAGTTATGCATGCATGTGTGTCTGTGTATGAGTGTGGAGGCCGGAAGTGAACACCATGTGTCTCCCTTGATCATTTTCTCCTATATTCATGAAGACAGGGGCTCTCACCAAGTCTGGGGCTCTTCAGTTATGCAAAGTCAACTCAGCGATTCCCCCAAACCCCTTGTCTGCCTGGGGCTGGCTCTAAGAGGCCTCTCCACGGATGGGCTTCTATGTGGGTTCCGGGATCTAGACTCCATCCTCACTTGTATGGCGAGCGCTTTATCCTCCACGACATCTCCCCATCACCTTCAAGGTCTCCAAGGTCATCCCAGCCTTGGGGTGTGTTTGATGGCAGAGGACTTTCCTCACATGCCCAAAGCCCTGGATTCTATCCCCAGCACCAAATGAATGAAAGCTCCTCTTCTTCTTCTTGCTGTACCCCAAGAATGTCCCACCTCTGTCTCTTCCCAGCCAGCTCTCACTAACAGGTGTGACCGTGGTGAGTTTAATCTCAGGAGGAGCTGATTCTAACAGCTCCTCTGGGCCTGCTTGGGCTGGAAAATCTCTACCCACAAGCCCAGGGTAGTTGGTGGTCAGGCCCCCAGCTCCTGAGACTACAGAAGCGAAGATTCCTGGCCTGATTCCCTGCCATCTCTTCCTTTTATGGCCTAAACAGGTTTGCCAGGACCTTGGTTAGCAGGGCTTTATTCCATAATGAACTAGTTTGAAGGGTCAAAGGTGACCCTTAGCACAAAATACTGCCTACCCCCACCCCCCCTTTTTTTTTTCAGAGCTGAGGACCGAACCCAGGGCCTTACACTTGCTAGGCAAGCGCTCTACCACTGAGCTAAATCCCCAAACCCTTTTCCCCCCTTTTTCTTTCAAGGCTTTTTTGCCTTATGTGCATGGGTGTTTTGCCTGTGTGTATGTCTGTGTACCGTGTACTGTGTACCGTGTGCATGCCTGGTGCCCAGGGAGGCCAGGAAAGAGCGTGGGATCCCCTGGAACTGAAGTTACAGATGGGTTTGAGCCACTTTGTGGATGCTGGGAATCGAACCCGGGTCCTTTGGAAGAGCAGCCAGTACTCTTAACCACTAAGCCATCTCTCCAGCCCACCCCCTACTTCTGCTTAGTGCCATTCCCTTGGGTTTTTGAGAACTCCCTCTTATTAGGGGCTTCCTCACTGGAAAGGCACTTGGTTTTCTTCTTCTTGCCTGTCTAGATCCAGAAATCTGCCTCGAAGAAGAACTTCCAGACGAAATCACTGCAGAAATATTCGCGACTGAAATTCTTGGCTTAACCATTTCTGACGGTTCCGGACAGTTGGATCAGTGAGGTCACTGAGAACGTTGGCAGCACAAAGGACTTTGTGGGTGCTTGCGCACACATGTGCGCGTTTTCCAGGAGGTGTTCCTTTGTTCTGTACATGCCTGCCTCCCCGCACCCCCGCCATCCTTTTTAGAGCCTTTAGACATTAAAAGCAGATTCCTCTTAGGCGATGGATCTCACAAAGTTGGACATTGTACTGTCTGTGAAAGAAACGAGTGTGGGCGAAGGAGAGAACGGGCCTGGCAGCTGGATCCCCAGGTCTGATGTGGGGGGGGGCAGGGCGGCGCTCCGCCAGTGGCAGGCCTTCTCATGACATGTATGCTTCATGGAAGTCACCGTCAGCCACTCATGCCCTTCCTCTGGAGTGCTGTCTGTACTGCTGGCCCCAGGAGGGGGGTGTTCTGGGCTCCTGGGAGTGCCAGCCTATTTTTCTTTCTCAGCAAAACACCCAAGCCGTTGTGTGCGGCCGTTCCAACGAGCATCACTGGCCATGCTGAACTCTGGTGGCAACTGCCAAAGAAAATGCAGAAGCAATCTGAGTCCCCCTCGACCTGCACCTGGGCCAGAAGCCACAGAGCCCCCGCTCCTTCGTGCTGCAACTGACGAGCCTTGCCTCACCTCCCCACCCTCCGCTGGACCACCGCCGTGCGCTCAGCGGGCAAAACCGGGGACATTGCGGGACATCTTTCGGTTTACAGTGATGTTTTGTTCCTGCCCTCTGGCCCAACACGGGAGAGCTATGGTCTGCTTTTAGAGTTTGCCCTCGGTTCTAAGGTCTAGTTCTAGCAAGTGTCCCCCCCCCCCCGCCCCCCATCACATTCAGTCCAGTGTACCTGCCCACCCCTACCAGGGCCTTTTCCTTAGACAGCATTAAGGAAGTATTTCTCTTTTGAGGAGTGGGGTAAACATTTTTAAAAATTACTTATTCTTATTTTATGTGCATTAGTGTTTCTCCTGCATGTGTGTCTATGTGAGGTTGTCAGATCCCTACAACTGGGGCTACAGGCAGTTGGGAGCTGCCACGGGGGAGCTGGGAACTGAACTCGGGTCCTCTGGAAGAGCAGACAGTGCTCTTAACTGCTGAGCCAGCTCTCCAGCCCTAAGGGAACACTTCTGATCCTTTAAAGAGCCCTTTTCCTGTAGAGCATGAGAGAGACAGTGCTGCATCTGCACCTCCACGCGGGCACCAAGCCCTCTCCTTATGGGTGTACAGTTGCACGTCTGTCTCAGTGAGAGTCTTCGCAATAGTCTGGAATGAGGAACAGAACCATCTACCCCACACCATGCTGTGTCACGGCGACCTTGGGGCAGGGGGCAGGAGGCACGGTTCTGCAGACACCTGCTTGTCGGAGCATGTCACTAGGACTTTGCAACCTGGTTTATATTTTGTTCTTTTAAAAAAAGAAATCATGGAAAAGGAACACAAGCTTTATGAATCGATTTTGTAGCGGCTAAGGGCCTAGGAGATATATTACCAAGCTGGTTAAAAAGTTCCTGGGGACATTTTAGGGAACAGGAAACGGGCAAATAACTTGTTCTCTTAAAAACAACAACAACAACAAACAACCTGGAACTGAGTACAGCATGGAGACCAGGCAGGACTTCGCTTTCTCCAATCTGGCACCTTTTAATCTTGCACTTCCTGACTGAATCTATTGCAGTGGTTGTCATGAGCAAAACTGTCAGTGCCCTTGAACCCACCGGGGCTGGTGCCACCATCAGAGGCAACTTGGGATGATCTCTCCGTGTTCATCCAGCCATAGAGAAGGAAAACCAAGGTCCTAGTTATGGACATTCCTCCAGGAAGGCCAAAACAGCCAGGGACAGCAGAACTGGTTGCAGCGCCCCACTCTCTCCCTCCCAGTGTGCCAGGGGGACCCTTCAACCTGGGACACTTCCGGCAGGAGACTTCTTGTGGTTGTCTCTTGGTATATTTTGACCGAGGCAGTCAGCAGCTTCAGGGCACTTGAGTAAAGGAAGGGACAGGCCAGCACCATCACCCTGGCCCGCTGGTCCTGGGGATGGGGACAGTGCAGAGAGGCTCAGAGGGCATAGAGCTTGTCTGTTGAGATCAAAAGGACAGAAATTTGAACATCGAAAACGTTACCGGAATGTTCCTTTGAAAAATGAGGCTTCTGCCTAGGAGGCTGTATGTTACTATAAGATTGTGAACTCACAGTCCCATAGTGAGTGATCTTCCAGAACCACCTCTCCTCCCCAATGCCCACCCCACCTCTCCATCCGGCCACCCATCCCCAGCCAGCTCTGAGAACTGTGAGCGCCTGGCCCACGCTGCATTTGCACTGGAAACCCAGGGACTGGGTCCCTGGTCTGCTTCTGATACTTTGTAGCTCTGCTTCTGATACTTTGTAGCTACCTGTGCTCCCTTGGGTGTGGTTAAGCCCTTAAACCTCAGTTCCATCCTGGAATAGCTCCGGGAGGTTTGTGAGGATTCAAAGAGATGGAACAAGTAAAGCATTCCTGGCACAGGGTACCGCTCCCAATACGACAGCAGCTATTATTACCGCAGGCAGAAACTGTACTGGAGAACTGAGAAGTTGCCCGACCGGACTTAACTTCTCCCGGGACTACGGTTTGAGCATCATAACATTCCCACCCTGAAGGCGGTCTCTCTTAGGTTAGAGCCTGGGTCTGCAATATTTGTAGAATGACTGAGTGCACCAGAAACCTCAGTATCCTTTACTGCTTGCTTGCTTTGCTTTGTTTTGTTTTTTGTTTGGTTTTTTTTTTCCCCAAAACAGGGTTTCTCTGTGTAGTTTTGGTGTCTGTCCTGGATCTCACTCTGTAGCCCAGGCTGGCCTCGAACTCACAGAGATCCACCTGGCTCTGCCTCCTGAGTGCTGGGATTAAAGGCTTGCGCCACCACCGCCCGGCAACTGCTTATTTATTGATGATGGCTTTTAGGCAGACGTTGATGTAGATGAGGATGGCTTCCAACTTGTCGTGTAGCTGAGGATGACCTTCAACTCCCCGTCCCACTGTCTGTATGTCATGTGACACTACTGGGGAGATGTGAATAAACATCTACTCAATTCAAACAGGGGCCAAAGTCAGGAAGGCACCACAGTCCAAGGTGGAGAGCCGATGAGTTTTCCCGGGGTCACTTACAGGGACAGAAATGATTTAAGGACAGCTGCACCACCAACGCCCACCCCAGCATGGGGGACAGCTCACCAAAGCTGGGAACCGGGAGCCCGCTGCACAGCCTGCAGGCGGCTCAGCAAGCTGCAGAGTGTCTCTTTGAGGCATGTAAGTTGGTCTAAGCCGTTCGAGCCGGCTCTGTTTGTCTCAGAGTTTGCCCAGCAGGCCTTACTGCTCCTATAATCTGGGGGAGGGAGGAGCCTAGTGAACCTGCTCAGTTTCAGGGACTACCTAAACCTTTTGAGTTGTTTTCTTCCTGTGCCTACGGAGCTTCCCTGCAGGAACGTCTCACCTCCCCTTGGAACATCCTGTGTCTTAGTGAACTTCCCAAGATGGAAAGTTTCTTGTTTTGTTTGCTTGTTTTTGTCTTTCAAGACAGGGTTTCTCTGTGTAGTTTTGGTGCCTATCCTGGAGCTCGCTCTGTAGACCAGGCTGGCCTCAAACTCACAGGGATCCTCCTGGCTCTGTCTCTCCGAGTGCTGGGATTAAAGGTGTGCGCCACCACCGCCTGGCCTAAGACGGAAGGTTTTATGTCAGAGAAAATTGCTACACAGCACTCACAAGTGCTGGATGACAGTCATGTGCCACCATCCACAGCCAGTTCTTCCATGTCCCTTTAATAGCTTTTGACTTGAAGTGAATGTCGGGTCCTCCCAACCCTCCACCTCAGAGTTGGCAAATTCTTCAAGGGGATTCCTTCAGGCCCGTGGTCTCTATCTCAGTTCCCCAGACCTTAGGCTGTAGGGCAAGCATAAGTGTGGACATTGTAGAAAAGAGTGCCCGTGCCAGGGAACCAACCCAGCTTTAGTGACAGTCACGAGAATTTGGACTCTATGACCCCCGCATGTGATAGCATTCTCCTCTTAGTGTTGTTCAACCATTTTGAAAATGAAAAGGAACATCTCTTAGCTTTCAGACTGGACAAAAGCCGACAGTAGCCTTGGTTTGCCCACAGGCTGGAGTCTTCCCACTTCTGCCTTGCTTCATAGGCCAAGTCACTCACCCTAAGAGATCATCACAACGATACTGAATCTATACAAAATACCCGACAGCCTGGTGTGGTGGTGCAGGCCTGTAATCATAGCACTTAGGAGGTAGAGGCCGGAGAATCAGGAGTCCAAGGTCATCCTTGGCTACATAGTGAGTTTGAGGCCAGCCTGGGCTACACAAGACCTTGTCTTTATAATAATAATAATAATAATAATAATAATAATAATAATAATAAATAACATAAAAGCAATACGTGCCCATATCCTACAAAAGATGTTAAGGTTGTAACAAACAAAAGACAAAGGCCAGATGTCGCATGGCCGCCTGCATCTGTCTGCTGACGTAGCTTGGAGAACCCAGGTGACTGAAGGAAGCTCAGCGCTTAGTTAATAGTGCCGAACCAGTGGTCATTCCGCGGCTTTTGCTCACCAACCGTGGTCCTCTCTGTAAGACAGTCACGTTAGGGAAGCTGGTGAAGGGTCTGTGGGGACCCTCTGCACTGTCCTCCAATCCCTCTAAATCGAAAATGATTTAAAAATGGGGGCCAGGGGCGGTATTTTATTTTTGCTGTGCTGTGAACTACACTCGGGGTCTTGCCCATGCCAAGCAAATGCTCTGCCGCTGAGTCACGCCCCCAGCCTCTACAAAAGCCGCCTTTGCTGCTGTGTCCCGGGTCTTACTCCAGGGAACATTCCCGAGACCACTGCCCCCCACCACACCCGACACCCCTGTTCTCCGACACCCCTAACCCATCCTAAGCAGGCTGAGAGATGGTGCAAACCAAAAGGGTTTTCTGGGAGACCTTTGCATCCTGGGGCTGTCGCTCCTGGAGTCACAGGTGCGTTCGCGGTGAGCACGGTCTCTAAGGGTTTGGCCGGCAGGTCCCGGGAGGCAGCTGACTGCAGTAAACAGAGGCCTTGGGAACCGGTATCTAGTTACCACCCTGTGTTCATGTCATTTAACTACCCTCTGCTATCTCTGCTTGCAGGAGTACGAAGGAGAAAAGGAGGGGTCAGGGAACCGGCATTCGGGTGCACACCTGTAATCCCAGCAGTCAGGAGGCTGAGGTAATATCGGCACAAGCGCACCACATGTGTGGTTGATTGCCACAAGGGCAGAACATGTATGAAGCAACCTCCGTGGTGAGAAGGGGGCTCAGGTTTGCCTAGAACTGGAGCTACAGATGGTTGTGAGCCACCATGTGGGGTTCTGGGAACCGAACCCTGGTCTATCTGGATGAGTAGGAGCCAGTGCTCTCAACCACTGAGCCATCTCCTCAGCCCAAACCTAGGGCTCTTACGCATGCTAAGCAGGCTCCTTACAGCTTAACGGCACCACCAGCCCCTCGTGTCTTCATTCACAAGCCAAGAACAAAGAACTTCACTTGTTTACCCAATCCCAGTTCCGTGCGTTCACTACACACGAGAGACTACATAAGCCAGAGTTAGCTGTCCCCTGAGAAGTGCCTGTCCTCCGTGAATAAGACAGGTGTGGCTCTCACCTCCTAGGGGCATGTGCCAAACAAATAGTCCCACTGTGCTGGGAGACTGGAGGGAAGGCCTGGGCCCCGGGAGACTGACATCAGAGAGGACTGTATTCTGGAGAAACAGGGTGAACGTTCCAGCCAGTGTGTCCCAAAGCCGGGAGCTTGGGAAGGGCGTGTGTGTGTGTGTGTGTGTGTGTGTGTGTGTGTGTGTGTGTGTGTATCCCCAGGATACTGAGGGCATCATGAGCTCCAAGTTCCTTCCTTGGTGCCATATCCTTTCACATGTGATCCTCCTGTGTCTGAACAAGAATGTTTTCATAAACAAGAATGTTTTCATACATGGAAGGGGCAGGGAGACAGAGACCAGCCAACGGTATAAGTGGAAGTTCCTCCCCGCCCCCCCCCCCCCCCCCCCCCCCGCCCGCTTTCTCTCAATCTTATTGCATTTATGTTCTCATTTTGTGAAAGGAGAGACACATGCATGCTAAGGTATATGTGTGGAGGTCAGAGGTCAGCTTGCAGGAGCTTGGCTCTCGCCTTCTGCCGTGTGGGTTTTGGGGATCAAAAGCAGGTCATGTGGTTTGGCAGAGAACATCTTTACCCACTGAGCCAGCCTTCTTTCGGGTCCCATTATTTCTTCACAAGCAAAAAGCCTTCATGTGGGACAAGGTGTTTCTCTGAGGATCTAGAAACTATATATATGTGTGTGTGTGCACACGTGTACACACACACACACACACACACACAAGCTGCAATTAGTTCCAACCCTGAAGCTAATCATGAAATTAAACTGACGTCAAAACTCGAAGAGTATTTCAGTCCCATAGGTCTGGAGTCCTTGAGGGGTGCCTATTCATCCTTTCATGGTTTCCAGGGATACCAACATTGAAGGGGATGCTGGGGATTGAGCCTAGGGCTTTGAACACGATAAGCACATGCTAGACCCCTGAGCCACACCCCTAGTTGAAAACATTTGTTCTTAACTCTGTTTTGTTTGCTCTGTGTTGGGTACCATGCTGGGGACAGAACCAGGGCAGAGTTTGCCACCCTCAGATGCCCGAGCTAACAATGGCCCAGTGTCAGCCATACGTGCTACTCCGTGCTACATTGTGTCGGAAAGCGTGGTCCTTGCCTTAAGAAGGTTACATGACAGAGAAAAGGCCTGTGAGAGACCCGGGGTCAGGGCAGGGGCAGCGCAGAGGAGGAAGGGATCAGAGAGGAAGGAGAAATTACAGAAATGAAGCAAGCTATCCCAGGCGGTGAGCGCGTCGGAATAGCAAGAGACAGCTGACGGATCCCGAGGGTGCCAGGGATGGGGGTAAGGGCAGAAGATCAGTCCAGAGGAGGCAGTGGGTTACAGTACAGGTCTGGGGTACTGAATCAAGAAGGCTAAGCCAGGAGTGGGGGATGGGAGTGGAGGTATAGGTTGTGGAGGTGGCAGTGGTGGCACACGTCTTTTACCCCAGCACTTGGGAAGCAGAGGCAGGCGGATCTCTGAGTTCCAGCCTGGTCTGGAGAAGCTAGTTCCAGGGCAGCTAGGGCTACATAGAGAAACTGTCTCGAAAAACAAAATCAAAACCCAAAACCGGGTTGGGGATTTAGCTCAGTGGTAGAGTGCTTGCCTAGCAAGCGCAAGGCCCTGGGTTTGGTCCTCAGCTCCAGAAAAAAAAACCAAAAAAACAAAAACAAAACCCCAAAACCAACCAAACAAAAAGGCTAGGTTGGATTAAAATGGAAGGGAGGGGAGGATCGAATTTGTATCTTGGAGGCAGAAGGATGCACGGGAAAGGGGAAGAATTTACTTGCGTAGTTCAGAAAAGCGAAGGAAGAATAAACGAGGCTTAATGCGATGAAGGCGCAGCTGAGTGTGTATTGATCACGACCTCTAGTTTGTGGTAATAGAAGGTGGCTCTGGTTAGCTTGGGTGGAAAGGGGCTTTATTGGAAGGACATCAGGTAATCGAGAGAATCTGGGGAGAGGCAAGATCAGCATGGGCAGGACCACCACTGGGCGAGTCACCTTCCAGTCCCCACAGGTTCTCCAAAGGCCATGCCTCCCACACGCCTTTCTCTTCTCTGCCTCTCCGTCTTCTAAAGTGAAAATCGAAAGCTAGTGTGGGCCAGCAAGACGGCTCGGCAGGGAAAGCGGCTTGCTGACAAGGCTGAGGACCCGAGTCGGAGCCCTGTGACCCACATGGTGAAGAACGCTCCTTGAACACCATCTTCTGACTTCTGCACATACGCCAAGGCACAAGACACATGTACACACACACACACACACACACACACACACAGAGAGAGAGAGAGAGAGAGAGAATGTTTAAAACAACAATGAAAAGAAGTGCTGGGTACCATGGTACATGCCTATAATCCTAGCACCTAGAAGTCAGGCAGCAAAATGGCCTCAAGTGTGAGGCTAGCCAGGGCTACAATAACAAGATCCTGTCTCAGAAATAAGTAAATAAATCAAGACAAATCAAAACCCCAGTGTAATACCACTTCATCAACCAAGTTGGCTAAATAAAAAAGACTGCCAATAACAAGTGCTGGCAAGGAGTTGGCGAAGTTGGACTCTTTGCCGATGGGATATAAAAAGGTCCTGCTTTGGAACGTGGAAGTTCCTGAAAAATATTTAGCATAGCCTCTGTCTGACCGAGCCATTCTGTTCTTAGGCATACTGCCAAACAAAAGGGAGTTATCCACACAAAGCCCCCACACTAACGTTCACAGCAGCATCATTCATAATCAATGAGAGGACACACTCGGGCACAGCTACATAGTCAAATATTGTTTAGACATATTTTCGATCTTTTCATTTCAGCTAGAAAAAGAAATCGTACATGCTACAACATGGATGAGCCTTGAGCACATGCTAACTGAAATCACTCGCACATGGCACACATTGTAGTATTCTCCTTTTGTGAAACATACGTGCTAGAGTTTGAATCTGGACTGTGCCCCACAGACCGAGTGTTAAAGGTTTGCTCTCCAGACTTCAGGAGCCAGACTGAGTGTAAGTTAGGTCATTGGGGGTATGCTCTTCAAGGGTCTACAGGGATTACTCCTCTCCTCTCTTCTCCCCACTTCCCTGCCCTCCCTTCTCCTCAGCTCCCTATCTCCCTTCCTTCTGCATCCTGGCTGCCTTGAGATGAGCAGCTCTGCTCCCTCCCATTCCCTGCATCTTACCTTGTCACTGACGCTGGCCCTGAACTCACAGAGATCTGCCTGCCTCTACCTCCTGAGTGCTGGGATTAAAGGCATGCGCCACCATGTCCGGCTAGAGTAGCAAAAATTTTACTAATACAAGCTAGGTGTGGTGGCTCACACCTGTAATTCCAACACGGAGTCACATAACCTGGGCTACAGAATGAGACCCTGTATCCTAAGGGGGAGAAATCAACTCATGAACAAGGCTAGGTGCCATGCCCAGGAATGAAATCCTAGCTGCAGGGAGATGGGCCCCTTTAGTGGGTCCTGTATTCAAATCCAAGGGCTCCCACCCAGAACTAGGGAGGATGTTCAGATTTGGGAAAGCCACACACGAGACTCTAGAAGGATTTTGGGTGGTTTTTGAAATTCGTGATCTTAGAACTGATCCTAGTATAGCTGAGTGGGAGAGTACTTGCCTAGTGTGTGAGAAGCTCTGGGTTTAGTCCATAATCCTGTGAAACAATACAAAACTCACCACATAGACCAGGCTGGTCTCAGACTCATAGAGATCCACTTGAGTACAGGGATTCAAGGTTCACCATGCCTGGCAACAGAGTCTGTTTGTGGAAGGGTTCCAACTTTAATCCAGGTCACTAGGTCATAACCAGACTACCCAAGTTTAATACTTTAATATTAGAGGAGATATTATCTCACTTTGAACACATTAATCTTCCTTTCTTCCCCTGCCCCCCTTTGACAGGATGTCATGTAGCCCAGGCTAGCCTCTAACACATTATACAGTCAAGGATAACTTTGAACTTCTGATCCTTTTACCTCTACCCCAAGCGCTAGAATTACAGGCCTGTAGAAGCAGGCCCAGCTTTGTTGTGGAATATTACTTTAACTGTGTAAAGATGTGTTACATTTTTGTTTGTTTTGTTTTTCCGAGACAGGGTTTCTCTGTGTAGCTTTGGAGCCTGTCCTGGAACTCACTCTGTAGACAGGGCTGGCCTCGAACTCACAGAGATCCGCCTGACTCTGCCTCCCGAGTGCTGGGATTAAAGGTGTGCGCCACCACCGCCCCATGTGTTACGTTTGTTTATGATGCATTTGTATAACTATGTAAAGATGTGTTGCATTAGTTTCACCTTGCCTGCCTAAGAAACCTGATTGGTCTAATAAAAAGCTTAATGGCCAATAGCTGGGCAGGAGAGGGATGGGTGGGGCTGGTGGGCAGAGAGAATAAGGAGGAGGAGGAGTCTAGGATGGAGAGAACAGGGAGAAAGTGAAGAAGATGCCCCGGGGCCAGGCAGCTGCCAGACAGACAGACACAAAGTAATTCACACAGAATGAAAGAACAGCAAAAAATCCCTGAGGCAAAACGTAGATGAAGAGAGACTGGTTAAATTAAGTTGTAAGTGCTAATGTGAGC